GACATGGTCCGGAATAGTGACATCCGGAAGAGCCTTGGAATACAGCCTTTGCTTCTCTAGATTGAGAAGTAACAGCTGCGATGGCTTGGGCATGTGTTGCGAATGCCTCCAGAAAGAAAGGATAAGCAACTGATCCTTACAAATCCGAACGGCGAAAGGTCCAGGGGACAGCCAAGATAAACCTGGTTGAAATATATGAAAGGAGTCTGTTCCAGACTCCATTTGTCTTTTGCCGAAGCTCGGACTCTGGCACAGGATGGGGAACATTGGAAACTCTTTCTGACGTGTCTGCCTCCGCGATCCGAAGGGAGAAGCGGCGATGGAAGATGAAAATGAGGATGAAGAATGAGGCAAGTCACTGAAAAACTGAACCGACCGGTGAGGGACTGAAGCGGCTATTCAGAATCGGAGTTTGTATCTGCAGAAAATCTGCCCTGACTAGAACGAATGGCGGAAGATGGGCGGTGAGTGAGGTTCACCCGTATCGAGGAACAGCGACTTCGAAACGGCGCTTATTAGCATCATGACGAGGGCATGATGGAAAAGCTCCTAAAAGCTTGATTCAGCATGTATAAGAAGTTTCGAAACAGGTATGCGTTTAAGCCGAATACGCAGGATGGCGCAATGATAAGAGAGCTCTGCCGCCGTCTGTCATACGTTCGTCGCGCAGGTACTTTTTATGGTCGATTTCAGTAGCTTCAGGTGACCTGGTGGAAGCAGTACGATGCAGCACGTTGCGAACATGCCGCCTCCGCATAACAGCCGAATGGTCTTGAGCCGCTTATCGAACTCATTAACCACATTTTGCGGCGGCAGTACGTTTCGCCGATGAGGGCCTAATAAAATCCGTATGCGTTTCAGCGAATTGGAGACAATTACAGCCAATCGAAGTTGGCTTCATTTCAGCTAATTCCGGGGTCACAAATAGCTGGAACATTTCCGTAAGTAAAACTTGACGCCAAGCGTCTTCTGCCTGCAAATCCAATATGAACATGCAACTGCGGTACTCGCCTAATGGTCGGCAAACGAGGACTTTGCCTCGGAAATGTGAGTGCAGAAAAAAGCAGGAGCGTTCGAGTATGGGAGAGGAAGCGGATTTCTACAAATACCAACGAACTGTGAACTCACTCCGGTTTCACTCGAGTCTAGTGAGGCTGGCTCATATCGGCGTGAAAACCGATGATGTGCTCTACGGCTACTCTACTTACAGTATGTCTGTTCTTTTCGACGCGTCTTTTGCAAGTTTCTAGACTACGGCTGCATTTATTAGTATCCAAAAACGGCCGAACAGCCTATGACAGACGACATGTCAAAACGCCTGGTCAGCTATCGCAGATCTTGAGTACACAGATCGTTATCGTTCCAGCTCGTTTTCGGAAATTGGAAAACGCTTTCCTGAAATCATGTGATCCTACTGGTCTTATGAATAATATTTTTTTCGCATATTCATTTATTCGTTCATTTTCAACGCATTTCAACGTTCATTCCGCTGCAGGCCGGGAGGAGGCAGCTTCGACCAAAATCGTGTTTCTGCAGAAACAGTCCTCTGGCAACGAGTTAAAGTTAATAAAATGAATTGCGCAGCGAGAAAATGTCAAATTATATCGACGCACTTCTTCAACCAGATCCTGTAACTTCCCAGTTGCATAGTCACTCCTCTCTGGCCTTGCCGGCCTTATGGTCGCATGAAGTTCTTGTCGTGCTTTTTGCTGTCACCGGTTTTGTCACAAATGAAGAGTTGGTCAAATAATGGATGTGCAAGGCCTCGATAGCGTAGGAGACGGTAGAGCAAAATTTTTTGTACAGCAGACCACGCTGTCTCACGTTCGAGCGCTCAGCTAGTTTGACTTGCGTAACTGCCAAACCTGCGCTTATAATACGCTCTGGTAACGTGCTTCAGAATCACAGCTGCATACAACCAAGGAAGTACACCATCGTGTAGAATAAGTAGTGGCATGGAAACAATGCACAAAAATTTGATCTGTTTTCGTCGGTTCATCATGACATTGACGGCTTGTCGATTGGCTAGCTTTGATAGGATCATTGGTCTTGCTATCATATATCTATTAGATCAACGAGTCATCGAAGTCGCTTGAGGCAAACCAATAACATGCGCTTCAAAATTGCGCCATTCCTGGCATTCTATATAAGTATTGGACGTGTTTGGTTCGAGACGTCGCGGAATTTTCAACCGGTATCGCCCGCTTTTCTGGCATCACTGTTCATTAACGTACGCTATGGAAGAAGTGTTTTGCACTTAACTGATGGTAGACAGCTCAGTTTATCCGAACTGAAGCAAGTATTTCCCAATTTGCCTGAAATACGCTGGAGAAACGGACACGCACTTTTCGTTGCATCATGAAGATGCATGTAGTAAAGATGGCTACAGTATGACTTTTATCGTAATCTTCAATAACACGAAGAAACCGCATCATCCGGAAAACATGAGCGAACCTCTTCAGGAAATCAGTGGCGCCGTACTTAACTCGTATTCTCGTAAATATCCCTGCGTTTAACTGTCGTCTCCTGCCCTATACAGATATTGCGTAATAATTGTCTAGCTGTTGTACGCTGTATATATGCAGATACTGAAAGCAGGAAGATACATCTTACTGCACAGCATTAGTAAATAGGGCGAGATGCCCATCAACCGTGGTAACACATTATTTGCATTTGCCAGTTCTGTTTAGCTTTTAGCTTTACGTGTGTGTTGAAAAATCATGAGAATCATTAGCAATGTATGGAAAGGAGGTTGACATGACCTCCGGTCGCTTCTCTGAATTTATTCCGCGTAGTCGCACTATCCTCTTGTCCTCTTGCTTCTATCAGCCAATGGGACCGTTCAAGAAGGTCATGGCTTCATGATATTTCAGCACTTCCAGTCAAAGATGCAAATCCGTGTCACTGATGTCCTGATCGAAACCATTAGCTAGCAGATTGAATACAGTGCGTTAGGTTCATTTCTCTTGACGGCGATATTGATTACCAGCAGCATGCTAATAAACGCAGAAAATCTGGTTTTATTTTTGTGTTTAAATCGACCTACACACCGTGGCGTATTTGCAGGTGTCCGTAAAGACCTTTGTTCGGTGGAATGGGATGATTCGGCGCGCTGTCGTTTCAGCGCCGATTGGTAAGCGTTATCAACATGCAACGCGTTTGTCTGTATACGATCGGACTATGGTCGTCTCGATCAACCGTAATACCCAACCAAGCAGTTTATCTATCTATGAGAAGCTCTCTGTGAGCACAGTGTGAAACTTCTGCGAAACTAATGAATTTGTTAGATTTTGCGTTTTACCTGCGAGAACTGCATAATATATAGTGTCCAATAAAATTGAACAAATATTATTACTTGCGTTAATGGATTAGCGCATAACTGCAAAATGGCGCAATGATGTTGTATACTGCATAAAAATTTTGCTATATAAATATAGTTACTCTACACAACACCGCGTTATTCTTCCATGAAAAGTTGACTTTAAACTAAAGTATATTCGCAAATTGAAATTTGTGAAATAATTGGGAAAATTAACAATTAGTTTGACAGACATTTGGTACTGTACTCGGAACGGCCGCTTCGAGAGTTATTAATATATACAAAATGAATTTCTTGATGGATGATGGGCGAAATCCCAGAAAATCATTAGTTTGACAGGGGTTTCACGTTGTGTTCAAGGAGACCTTCTCATAGACATACAACGTTGATCGAGATGATCACGCTTCATTCATATAGAACTGCACAGGACTGCACGTTGACGACGACTATCGATCGGCGCCGAATCGCCATAGACCGTTTGTTCGGCCCTGACTGTGCGGCTTAGCATTCATGCACTGCAGGTGCTCAAATGTCATAGAGCCGTGGCCTGCTTAAATGGTCCCCTAGGCTACAAGAAACAAGGGGACGATGCCATTATGCCGTTTTAATCCGGTATTAAAAGAGAAAAGGCTAAACTGTCTTATGTTTCGTGGGCAAAAGTTTTTGGCTATAAAATGTTTGCCATGAGTGGAACGTGTAGGCCATTCAGTTTCCTCCTCATCCTCAGCTTCTCCTTTCGGCTCGCCGAGGCAGACGCATCAGATAGTGCGTCCAACGTTCCCCATCCTGTGCAGGAGTCTGCGCTTCTTAGAAGACAACTGGAGTATCAACAGACTCCTTCCATATATTTGCAAGACAGTAATCTTGGCCGTACCCTGGGCCTTCTGCCGGTCAGATTTGCAACAAACAGTTGCTTAGTCTTCCTTTCTGGAAGTATTCGCCTCTCCGTTTTCGTCCGCTGCATACCCACATCCGTATAGCACGACTACGGTAGTGCTGCGGATCCAGGACGTGATTGACACAGGGTGTGCGGTCCTGGTCAAGAGTTTAACTGAGTTATTCGGTCACTTGATGGCTGTAGCTGCGACGGCAGCGGGAAAGACCAGCAACGGCGTCACCAGACAATTGTTTACACATTGCAGCGCAGCTCAGTTCCTTATACAGAACGTATCGTAAACCATCCTGCTGAATATTAGCTATACTGCTATTTTACTAAAGGTATCAAATAATCGTTATGAAGTTCTTTACACTTTCACTACCTGGTAAACTGACTCATGAAGAACTTTTCGGAATATCGTTTAACAGCCAGTGTCGCACGTAGTTTAAAACATTAGTATAGTTCAAGATCTTAGGAGAAAGCACCTACAAGGACAAAGCTGAAATATTCGAATCGCAAGGAGTTATGGCGAACAAAAGCTGAAGTCCTGCATGCCTCGGGTTTAATATCAATTGGCTGCGAAACACAGGACACTTACCATATTACGAACGGATCATGTCGCAGCTGAAACACGTAGAAACACCGTACTTGCTTGACAATATGCGACAGTGAATGTTTTGCTCCTTTTATAGCGGATGAAATGTTTTCTACTTGCACGGTGGAATTTTGTTTGCGAACCCGTTATCATTTTATCCGTTAATTTATCAGATTATCCTGTTCTTTTGAACTGTTTACCAAAGCAGTAGGAGATATCACAGCTAGGCTTTGAACGCGTGCAGCTTAACTGAAGTTTACCGTCGTCGACTTCGAGAGAAATGTTACATACACGTAAG